TTTTTACATGCTGCTAGTGAGAGAACCTGTTGTTAAAATATTTGAATCCCAGCACTGTATAGAGGTCATAGTTATATCTTAAACACTATATTGTTCTCATCTTGTTGACAAAAGTCCACTTAGGCCTATTCAATTGCTTTAGAATTCAGTTGACAAGCCGAACTATTTTTCTGTATTTCTATTGCCAGACTATTCGTGTTTAGTTCACTTACGTTGTCGTTGAGTTACCATGGTTGTATCTTGTACTTCAAAAATTATCTGCTTCTTTTTTGTATTTCCAAGAATCGTCTGCTTTTTGTCAAAGTCCACTCAGGCTGGTTCAATTACTTTAGAACACCCTTTGATGAGATAGCTTATTCTCCTTATCTCTTACGAAATTGTTAATCTCACTATAACATATCAACTGTTAAGCCTTTCACTCCCACAACAATTAACTTTGCATTTAACTTTTCTGTGACCGAATTTCTCCTTCCCATGACTTTACTCTCTTCTGCCCTTTTTTTTGTCTGCTTGGCGCTATTTATACACTTACGCCAACTAGAAATCTCTATATTCTCAACATCAATGAATTATAAACACAAGTTAACGAGTTACGTAACCAAACTTTTCAGAACGATGGCCTTTAAAATAATTGCTTTTAACTCTCTTGTTATGAAAAAACTAAACAATCATGAAATATTCACTCACAAAATAAATGAATTAATATTACCTACACTAAAGAGTCTTATATCTGACATAGGTATTTATGCTTTTACATTTAAGCCTTTCTATATAATGGTTTATCATATATTCCATTGTATTGTTACTATTTAAATCTATGTTCTTTCTAAACTGTTAGTTGTTTCAAAAACTTATCACATAATAGCTAATATAATTTTTTCTAGATAGAATATTGTAAATCTTTTTGAGGTTAATACTGATGGAATTTGAAACAATTCCAAAACATTCATAATAAAAGATGTTTTTTGGTATTGCCATGTTTCTAACATTGAATTTGTTTGAAGTGTCTTTCCATGTTAATGGTGTATTACTGCAGATGACATCCTACATATTTGGCTTATTTTAAATTTCCAACTGCTCAATAAAACAATAACACCACAGGTGAGCTTAAGGCTGGAGAAATATGTCATTACTGAAGGAAGAATTTTTGCATAGCAAAATACTAAAGATATGCAAAGCTCAGGTCATACCAATTTCAAAAATTACTATCTAAAACAAAATGAATAGCATCAGCAAGGGAAGATAAAGCCCACTCATATGGGAATGTAAAACCATTTAAACTATATGCAGGACTGCCACTACCATTGTTATAGCACTCAGATTGGTCATCTAGAAAACCTCTTGACTCATAAAATATTTAATAAATTGCACAATTCTGCAACAGATAATTCTTAAAGATTTTACCCTTATAGTGAAGTATAAACCACAGGTGCTCAAGCTATTCCTCAAAGACTCTGGTTAAAGAAAATAAAAATTGCAGAAAACCTTAAAAATATATGTTTCATGTGAGAGACTGAAGTTCATTGTGACATTAGACAAGATCTTTATTCACTTGAATGAATGCAACAAAAACAAAATAAGTTATTTCCTATCAATCACACAGTTGAGAAGAATTTTCCAGTATGGTACAGTGAATATAAAGAAAGTTTTTTTAGTGGGCTTTCTGTGGTTCCAAGAGTTTCTCATAAAATGAAAAGTATTAGCTGTACAAACTGCATAGTAAAGCATGGGTAAACTAATTAGAATTAAGAAAATGTTTTGGTATTAGCTATGTGAGATGAAATTTCTGCATTGTATGATCAGGATGGCAAGAAAGTATAGCTACATCAATATAAAGTGTACATCTGCAACAGGATTTTGACAAACTGTGAAACTAGTGATCATACTTGCTCCTTCTCCAACATATATGTAAATTCATCAACTATTAATCTATAAACTTCTGTGTGTTTCTTGTTTGTTTTAACATTGTCTTGGAAGCCATTTGTTCATATACAGTGGAAAGACTGGAAAATTTGTCAAAATGGGTGGTATAAGATTAGTCTTGTTTCCTACAGGGGAAATTGTAATGTGTTGAACAGTAGTTGTGTAATCATGGCCATCAGATTGAGCACTATCACTAATGGATGAAGTAGTTCAAAAAGCACCATGAGACCTAGAATTTGTTCTATTGTAACATGATTAACTTCTCAGTATAGCCTTTTTGATTGGAAAATGTTCTTTGATGAATTTTAAATTCAAATATGTTTATGTAGTATCTCAGTGGATAATTTCATCTTTTGTGAATTTTATGGTATATTTACAGTTAGTTGTCTGGTAAGAAATTTTTTATGTTGGACTCTGTTTGATTAAAAAGTGTTTAATAAATTTTCACTTGAACTATGTTTATTTCAAAACTTGATATATTTATGAGTAATGATTAGAAAGTATTTATAGTTTGGAAATATTTGATACAAACCTAAGAATTTATTGTAAATGTTTACAGATACAATTCGCATTGTTTCTGCCAGCAAGAATGCCCTGTTGGTTCCAAAAGGAATTACTATGTTTCCTGAAAGTACAGAAAAAGTATCAGGTCATATTGATGTGTGGTGGATTGTTCGTATCCTTTTGTGTGAATCAGAGGTTTTAAAATTACCAACATTATCAGATATCTTGTTACTACATACCTGATCATAAATTTCTATATTATATACTTGGGCCAGGCATTTCCTAATGGTCAGCATGCTAAACTATGGATCTGAGACTCCATAGTATGAATCCCATCATTGCAAAATCATGATACACACTTTGGGGCTGTGGGTGCATAATAAGAATGATGTTAAAATGCCACAATGTAATCAGGGTAGCCAAAGAGTTGGTAGTGGTTGATGTTGGCTAGCTTTCTTCCCTCTAGTATATCAGTTCAAAATTAGGGACAATTTATTCAGATAGCCTTTGTGTAGCTTTGTGCAAGTATCTGAAACAAAACAAACAAGTTATGTGCTTAGGTTTAATTTTTGTAAAATGCACATTTTGATCAGAAATTTTATGAAAATACTTATTTAATCAAAAACCTTCCAAGTTCAAACTTGGTTAGAAGGTTTTTAACAGTGCACTATGAGTTAGAAATTATATGCTTATATTTTCTAGCAATACCTATAATGTAATATTGTGCACAATGAGTTTGAATTATTCTAACCAGGTAAAAAATATTGCATAACTGAGCCATAACTGTTTGTAACTACATGTTTCATCTTATACTGTGCATTTGGAATGATACAAAGTAAGTCATGCTTAATTAGAAACAGTCATACTGTGGAAACATTCATAAACATATATTTATTCAAGTATATTTCAGAATTTACAAGTGCTGTTATCAGTGACTTGTAACTACACATCAAAGATGATATTGCAGAAGGTTGAGTGTGATTTGTATTAAAACAGCCTTGAATATGCAAATCAATAAGTCATATATCAGAATACATTCTGTCATTCTTTGGAATTTCATAGGTTGTAAGTAGGATACCACCTAAAATTGATTATTTCTAGGAAAGGTATGTAACAGCCCTACAATGCAAAATATTCATATACTCAGATCATAAAGATATGTTTATAGTGAAGATTTAGAATTTTCAAGGTGGGGATATAATGTGCACGTAATGGCATTGGAAAAAATACAGGAATATGGTTCAACTGGGTGAGCCAAGACCATCCAGAAATAGACCTGCAACAAGTGGTACTACAACCGTGTTAAAAAAATTGTGGTGTCTTCTGGACCAGCCCACCTTTGTAGCCAAAGTTTCACCAAACAACTATTTCTTTTAGCTATATTTGTCTGTTCATGGACACAATATATATCTGCCCAGAGTCCTCCATAATTTTGATGGAAGAAGCCCAAGTAATGATTGAAAAGGTCAAATGATGATGGTTTGAGGGACCTGCCTAGTCTCTTTTGCTGGCCCAGGGCAATACCCCTCTACCCAAAAATTAGTTTCAGGAATAAAGAATAAGGAAAGCCATTCCTTGAATCTTTCTTTTCTATTTTGAAATATCTGGTATTAAAGAATAAGATTAACCAAACTAAAAAAAGTAATGAATATGATCATAATCTAGTCTGAATTTTAAGAAAAAAGTTATCAAGTTAAGTATTGTGAACAACTGATATTTGTCTGAATTTCTCAAAAGCCTGCACTGTTTTTCACTATAGAAATTTATAAAAAACGAAAATACTGTACTGTATACTCAAAACTTACAAACTGTCTCCCTTAAAAATCTTCACTAATTTTAATAATGCTTCATTGTCAAAAATTCTAAACATAAATGTAATTCTAGATAACAGTGTGGAGCCAAAATAATGGTTTGAAGTTGGAGTAAATAATGTCTACAGTATCTCCAGCCTTGTTTCCTTCCTTTTTTTAAGATCCTTATTTGTAGGTTTTTTAAATTTGCAGTTTTGTATTTATTTTGTTAATGGTAATATTAGTGAATCCGTCTTCTGAAGTTTTTATGGTGGCAAACAGGATCTCTCACATCTCAAACTAGTTGTCTTAAGGTTCCTTCAATTGAGTGTTCCTCCTGTGAACGCAAGGAACATCACCTTATTTATATCCTAGGAACTTTTCCACTATCAGGATTAAACAAAAACATTACTTTCACTTAATGTTTCCTTTTGGATTTTAGTGTGTTATTTTGTCTACACAACATTGTTTTAATGTATGTAAGATGAAGTGTATGTGTTCCATTTCTTTATTTTGCTATTGCTATTCAAATTTGTTTCATGTCTAGTTTATATAATGATTATAAGCAGTACCTAATAAAGGGCTTTGGCCCAAAATGTTGTGATCATTTCAAAATATTTTTTTTTATGTTCATCTGCTGTTGTTTATTTTTTCTTTCAAATTTTATGCAATTAGACATAGCTTGGCTAGAAACTAACACAACAAATGTTCCTTGACACTGATAGGTTATGGTTTAAATGCTGTTTTATAAATTCCACTTCCAATGAAAACAGACATTTTGATTCTATACTTAATTTTGATCATGACACAAGTATGCCCAATAGCCCTAAACTCTGTGATACAAATCACTTATGAACCAAATAAGCTCTCTAACATTCTTAGGCCTGACATGGCCCATTGGTTATGGAGCTCGACTTGCACTCTGAGAGTCGCGGGTTCGAATCCCTGTCCAACTGAAACATGCTTGCCCTTTCAGCTGTGAGGACATTATAATGTGATGCTCAATCCCACTATTTATTGGTAAAAGAGTAGCCCAAGAGTTGTTTGCAGGTGGTGATGACTAGTTGTTTTCCCTCTAGTCTTTCACTGCTAAATTAGAGATGGCTAGCTCAGATAGCCCTCGTGTAGCTTTGCACAAAATTCACAATAAACCAAACCAACATTCTTAGTAATGTGCATATATGTATATGTGTGTGTGTGGGTATATATATATATAT